TCACAGCTGATATTGAGCTTCTCCAGCGGTTCCTTCCACAGATGTAGTAGGTCTGATTCCTATGCATACCATCAGGTGAAGTCCATGTGTATAACCTGCATTTGTGTCTCTTATAAAATGTATTTGCAATGAATAAGTCATTGATTTTACAAAATTCAATCATTCTATTTTGGATAAATGACACTGGTAGACTTGCTTGATGCAGGGTTGCCATGCACTTCCAGTTTGTAAAAACAAAAAAGCATCTGTGACAGGCAATAAAGTGAAGCATAATGTGCCTGCCTGTGACTCTGTCTGAGGGACAAGGTCGAGGTGGGGCTATAGGAATGAGAGGCCTTCCTCTCTATGGAGACAGTATTAAAAGCCATGGACCTCGGGCCAGCAGCCAGAGGTGCCAAGTGGCCCGCAGACCAAAGCCTGGGGCACACCTGCAACCTGAAGTGGGGGGATGAGCTGGAATCGGCAGCGAAAGAGCAGGCATTGTATTAGTGACCCACAAGGGCCGTTTCCCAGCAGCCCTGTGAAGAAGATATTCTGTGGACTAAATGTCCAGTTATGTCAGATGGTACCTGAAGGTCAGGAAAGGAGGACAGGCTTGATTGCTGGCTTTAGCAATGTGGACACCATAAGAGATGTGGGTAGAAACAGCTTTGGTGAAGTGGTTACAACAGAAGCACCATTGATTTGGCATTGGGAGGAATGAGGGGAAAGGAGAGGGACCCAGGAGGTGGAGACAAACCTTCTGAAGAGTTATCAATGCAGAGAGGAACAGACACAGGAAGAGCTGGAGGGAGCATGTGGCCCCGTAGTCTGGCAGGAGAAGCCACAGCTTGTCTGTGTATTGTCGAGAACAATCCAGGAGGGAGGGGCGAACTGAGGCTACAAGAAAGGGGAGGGTTGCTCAAGTCTTGGCCCTCAGGAGGTGAAGCATGGGAGGAGGGACAGGGATCGGTACTCAGCGGAGAGGCTGGCTGTGCATGGAGGAGCCCTTTACCAGGAGGGATGGTAGAGGATGGAGGCACAGAAGCCAATTGGTGGCTGTGGTGGTGGGAGCAGTGGCCAGAGCTGCTTTTGAGTTTTTAGGATGCTTCCATTTTCTTCAAAAATAGGAATGAAGGCCATGATCAGAGAGGAGTGATGCTGGAGGAGGTGTGTCAGACGGCAGTGGACAAGAGGATCTGGGGAGGGCCTGGGGGTCTGGCAAGGCAGGGGCCCCTGGAGGCCATGGTGTGTGTTGACAGGAGCTGTTGAGTTGACTGGGAGCATGGGGACCCCATTATGTAACATTGTGCCTGGAGTTTATTGGACCCTAATCTTTGTAGAGGTGGAGGGTCAGAGAAAGAGAGAAAGACCTCCCACACGATGGATTGACCCACTGACTAAGGTCATAATGGGCTCGAGCCTATCAGAGATGGAGAGGACAGTGGAGAACAGGGCAAGGGTCAGATCTGTGGTTCAGAGGGATCCTGCGAGTCACCATCAACTTGGCATTTGACCGTGTGAATCATAACAAATCATGGCTAACATTGAGAAGAATGCGAATCCTATAGCGTTTAATTGTGCTCATGCAAAACCTATAGCTGGACCAAGATGGTGGTGTCTGAACAGAGCAAGGGGACACTACGTGGTTCATACTCCGGAAAGGTGTGCATTAGATTTGTATCCTTTCTCCATACCTATTCAGTCTGTAAGCTGAGCAAGTCATTAGAGAAGTTGGACCCTAAGAAAAACCCCAGGGACTGAGGAAGACTCAACAGCCTGTGTTATGCAGATGACCCACTGCTTGCTGAAAGTGAGGAGAATTTGAAGCACTTACTGCAGAAGATCAAAGAGTAGAGCCTTCAATATGGATTATGTCTCAGCATCAAAAAAAGAAAAATTTCCACTGCTGGACTAATAGGAAAAATCATGATGGATAGAGAAAAGATTGAAACTGTCAATGACTTCATCTTACTTGAATCAACAATCAACACCCGTTGTACTAGTATTCAGGAGGTCAGGAGATGAATTGCATTAGGGAAAGTCTGTAGTCAGGAACCTCTTCAAATTACTGAGGAGCAGCGTTGTCAGTTTTAGGACTAAGGTGTGTCTGATTCAGCTTATGATCTTTTCAGTCGTTTGCTGAGCATCTGAGAACTGGACAGTGAGTAAGGATGACAGAATTAAAATTGATGCCTTTGGGCTGTGGTGTTGGAGAAGAGCACTGAATATCCCATGAACTTCCAAAAGAACAAACAGATGTCTTGGAGAAGGTGTAGCCAGAGTGCTCCTTGGAGGCAAAGATGACAAAGCTTCATCTCACATACTCTGGGCATGTTGCCAGGAGAGACTATTTTTTTAGAGGAGGACCAGTGAAAGAAAGACCTCCTACCAGGCGGAGTAACAACAGTGACTGCTGCAGTGGGCTTGAGCGTTTCAACGATTGTGAGGATGGCACAGGATAGGATAGGGCTCAGAGCTGTTGTCCATAGGGTCGCGATGGGTCGAACCTAACAAGAGTTGACAGTTGATGGCACCTAACATTGTCAGCAGTCTCTATAGAAGGAGCCCTGGTGGAACAGTGGTTCTCCTTCAGCTGCTGACAAAAACCCTGTGTAAGCCTACCAGCCACTTCTCTTGAGAAAGGTGTGACAATCTGTTTCTGTAATGATTCAAACAAGTCACTGGCATAGATTCTGAAGCCCTGTGGGGCAGTTCTGCTCTGTCCTGTAAGGTCACTAGGACTCAGAATCCTCGGACATCACTGAGCTGATGAAGTATTTGCAGGAGTGGATCACTAGGTTTGCTTAACTGATGTGCTGCCTTCTTTCACTGGAGGTGTGGGCAGTCACGTTAAAGCGAGGCCAGTGTCTGTGGTCAGTATGCCGGAAGAGGAATGACGAGTCAGAGATGTGTTGGGAAAGCGAAGGGGACGGGGTGTGGGTGGGTCACTGGCTGGCAGCAGAGTAGAATGTGCTGGACGACAGAGGAGAGCATTGGTTGAGGACCTTGAAGGGCAGTCTTCGGAAGGAGCAGGGGGGATGTGGGAGACCTTGGGAGGCCCAGTCACTTGGGACTGAGACGGTGGGGGCTCAGTGCCGGGGCCAGAGGCAGAGTCGATGGATTGAGGAGTAAAATGGCCAGGTCTTGGCTGTGCACTCCTGGAAGGGGTCCTGCAAGGGTACAGCGCTACCTTGCTCGACTAGTCTGAGACAGGAATTCCGGAAGAGGCCCAGGTTTTAGGGAGATCGAGCCATGCTTGGCTGTGGTACCTGCTGGTTCAATGGTAAAGATTTGTGCTGCCAACCAAAAGGCATGTGGTTCTAATCTACCAGCAGCTCTGCAGAAGATGGACAGTCTCCTGTGTGATTTACTGCCTCTGAAAACGCACTAGCGGGACAGCTTATGAGTGTGTTCCCACCTCACAGTTCACAACAAGAAGTGGGTATGTGGGGCAGGTGTTTAGATCCAGTTTGAGAGACAGTTGACACGGGTGGCAGAGCAGAACCCACAGTCTAGAGGGGTGACAGTCTGTGGGAGAGCAGAGGGAGGAGAGAGGAGGGGCTGGGGATTGTCACTGACAAGCACCTCGAAACTGAGGACACCCTGCCCACCGTGGAACCCATGAACCTGGACACCTTCTCTTACTCCTCACTGTTACCTTACTGTCAGGGATGGCCTGCTGCTGGCCCCTTCCCTCTCCCTGGGGTGTGACACGCTTCCCTCCCCCTGAAAAATCTCTTCTTTCTCAGACTCCTTTACCTAGACTGCCCACCCCCCATTTGCTTAGCCAACCCTGCCCATCTTTGGTAAGACCCACTTGGCAGTCTTCCTCAATCCCATCGAGTGGTTTACATGTGTGGGGCCTCCCTGAGGACAGGGCTGTGTCCAGGCAGCCTTCTTGTCCCCATGTCCCACAGGGACCCCAACCCAGAGCAAGCCCGTCCCACATATGGCTGATCAGAGACTAAACCAAGCCCTGCTCTTCCCTCAGTTCATTCCCAGCAATGACCCCTTCCAGAAGGCTCTGAGGGAAGAGGAAAAGCGCCGAAAGAAGGAGGAGAAGCGAAAAGAGATCCGGAAAGGTCCTCGGATCTCTCGATCGCAGTCGGAGTTGTAGCCCCCCTGTGGCGTGCAGAGTCCGAGGGGCCAGAGGCTTCGTGCCAGCAGCAGAGGTAGCAGCGGTAGCAGCGCCGCCGGTGTGAATGGTGAGAGCCAGCCCCACGTGACGGGGAGGCCACATCAGCCGAATCTGCGCTTGGCTGCAGGGCTGGACTTCTTCCCAGGGCCTTGGCCTTCAGAGGCCGCTGTGGTGCGATGTGACCCTGTCCCCAGCTGTGCTGTACTGGGGGAGTAGGACCCTTCGTAGGGGTCTCTGGGCCTCCCCTGCTGTTACCTCGCCTTAGCCCAGGTTCCAGCCCAGTTTCCAGCCCCTCTGCAGCAACAATAAACACCAGCAATTCCGGATGACCAAGGCTGGTGCGGGCCCTGGGCTGTGATCCCTCCGGTGGGCAGCAGGTGAGGGTCTGAGAGATCGGAGACCTAGGAAGCAGCTCACTGGAGGCTGCTGTGTCGTGGAGGAACCAGGCTGGTGGGCAGAGCCGCAGCTTGCTGGTCCCTTATCAGCCTGCCTTTAGGGAAGATCACTGTTGGGAAGCCACCCAGAAGCCTTTGGAGCAATGTGGTCTCTGTCACAGCTCCTTGGGGGACAGTTGTTGAACAGGATCTAGCGCTGAGATCCTAGGCCTACAGGTGGGGACTGCAGGTGACCACCCACAGACCTGCAGTCTTTGTCTTACTGTTCTGACCATGGCCAGTGAGCTGACCCCCTCAGCAGCTGTGACTGCAGGACAGCGCATGGTGTCTGTACCTCCTGGGCTCAGGAGCAAGGGCTCCAGTGGGCTTTCCTGTTCTGTGCCTCGGGCCCAGACAAACCAGGGGCTGCCTGTTTAAAGGACAACTTTTAGTCAGATCCGCTCACTGCCATTCATCCACAGCCACAACAGAAGGGCCTGGAATTCAGGTGACAGAGGCCCTGCGCTGAGGCCCACTCTGACGGTTATGTGTTGGCCACTGTGGGCAGAGCCAGAGAGGGGCCCAGGTCCTCCTGAGCCCTTCAGACTCCTTCCTTTTCCTGATCGCCCTTGGCACCACCAGCCTCTCTCCTGGTTGAGTCCTCCCTCCGCCCTCAGCTGGTGCCTCTCCCCATCTGATACTTTCAATAGAGGGAAGCTCCCTGCTCACCCCTTTCTTCCCTCTGTCTCCCACCCCATCCCTTTGTCCTACACCCCACCTCCAACCAGGAAGGCACCAGGACATGTGTCTGTCCAGCCCCCCTGCAGATCGTCTTGTGACTGAAGTCCCTGAGATGGCCCAGTGTGAGTGGGGGTCATGCTGGGGGCAGCAGTGACGGTAGTGACCAGGGGCTGCCATGGAGGTATTTAGTCTAGCAGACTGTGTCAGGATGTCCGGAGGTGGCCACAGTGGGAGTTCCATTGTGATCTAGAATGTTGTTAGCAAGCTTCTCGGTCCAGCCCCTGGCACCCCTGGCAAGTTCAGGGCACCCCAGAATCCCTGTAAGCAGGTTTATCAAGTGAGTGGCACTGTTAATTCTGTATTGTGGAGAGGCAGGAGGGAGGGATGACCTGTGACTGGATGTTTAACATGATCCCTCTACTAGGGGCCAGGAGCAGTGCCCCAGTTTTGACAACCAAAGTATCTCCAAACATTACCAGGTGTTCCCTGTGGAGTAGGCTTACTTACGCCGCCCCCCCCCCCAACCACTGTGGAAAGACTCCCTGGTGGGCTGCATTGAGCCAGCCCCTTCCCCTGCCTTCCCACCCATTCCCCTGACTCCTCAGCTCCATCCTTGGGGAGATGCTGGCCGGCTCCTCCCCTGGTGCTCCTGCCAGAGCCAAGGGCTGCCCCATCCTCTGCCCTTGGCCCAGCCTGCTCTATTTCTACCCCATTTCCCTGCCTCACCTGCCTCTCACATGAAGGCTTTCCCACCCCAACCCATCCTCATACTCTTAAGACCACAGAGCTGATGGCCGCCCCTCTGTCACCACCTAGTGACCTTTGGCTCTTACCTCTCCCATGGTTTCCCCCCTTCCCCGCCTCTGTGTTCAGCAGTGTGGTCCACACTCTTGCCTGACCCAGCAGGAAGGCTTCCAAAAGGAGGTGACATCTGGCGAAATCAGAGGGCTTGAGGGGTGGACTGGCCCCTCGAGCAAAGGCTTAAATGGGGGAGGGGTCTGGAACACGACAGATGCCCAGGCCACAGTCAGTGTTGGGACCTGTGGTCATCCAGGCCAGCTTGTCCCATTTCAGAACAAGCACCAGGTCCGGAGGACAAAAGGGGGAAAAAAATACTTTTGTGCTGCTCACAGTCCATCCACTCACTCCCCACCAGGCCTGGCCAGCTGGCAGAGAGGGACGGTGGACAGTTAGGGGGGGGTGAACCCCAGGGCTGGAGAGCGCTATTCTCTGTGAGGCCCACAGTGCAGCCACCTTTACAAGGCCATTGCCACTGTGCTTGCCAACATCCCTTCAGGCCGCTTTGCCAGCTCAGCTGGGAGCCTGGGGACAACTGCCAGATAGAGATGCTGTGCCTGCTAATCTTTGGGGGCTCCAGCACCTCTGCCAGGGCTGTCAGGCTGGGTGAGAAAGCATATGAGGAAGGAAGTTAGTGCCCGGTCATTACTGCATCCTGCCAGGCCAGCTGACAGTCACCCAGGAGGACCCAGCCAGGTAACACCGTTCAGCCAGGTGCAGACTTCACTGTCTTACAGCGAAGCTGGGGTCTGCTACACTGGCTCTGAACAGGGAAGAAGGCGTTCTGTCTCCTCCCCCAAAGAAGCTTGTTTCTTAGTTATATATATATATATGGTTGTTAGAAAAAGGAATCCACGCAGCACGAGAAGATTCCAAGACGTGAAAGATCACAAACCCCACTGTCACCATAACTGCAGCCGACTTGCAGCTGAGAACCTCCGTCCACATCACCCTTCCTGTGAGCACAACCACAGTAGCTGCTTGGTAGGTGCCAGGCCTGAGGCCAGCCACTGGCCGGGCAAGGGCAGTGCCTTGCTTCCAGCTCCTTTACTCCCCGGCTCCCCTTAATGCAGAGCTGGCCTCCTCAGAACGCTAGGTTTTTTTCACCTTGGATGCCACTCTGATTTCATCACATCCGTGTTCCTCCTAGATCGCGTGTACCATCAGCTGTTACTATTTATTTGTTGGGTCTCTTTTTTCTCAACTAGAGTGGAAGCTCCCAAAGTGCAGGAACTGTTCATCTTTGCCTGCCACATAGCCATTCAATAAAACCTGTCAAATGCACAAGTGAATGAACTCATTTATTCACAGCTCTTCAGGGGGCTGTATTAGCTCCAGTTTGCAGATGACAAAACACAGGCAGAGGACATGCTCTCCACCATCGAAGGTCTGGTGGTGGCTCTGTTCCCTGGCTCCGCACAGCCTGTGGTGTGGAAGGGGAGCCATCAAGTCAGGCTACCTCTCACAGACTCGGACTTTTTCCCCAGCTGTGTGTCCTAAGAGTCAGCACACATTACACACAGCATTTGTAATGTCATGATTTACCATCACATGAATGCCCTCTATCCAGCCTCGTCGGGCTCCTCAGCATTCCCCAGCAATAAGACCTGTGGCAGGCGTCCTGGAATGTACAGTTAACACACACCCAAAATGCACTAATCCCTCCCACCCCCTGTGTGTGGGTGGCATGGACTTAGTATTCTCACAGTAAGTGATGGGTTTGGCTTTGGGTTTTGGAAATAGATAAGGGAAGGAGGAAAACAAAGATATTTGAGTTATGAAAACTAAGATGTGCTTCATCGAAGCCATGGTCTTTTCAGTCCCTTTATATCATGTGAACATGGGGCAATGAACAAGGAAGACTAAAGAAGTATCTTTGAATTGTAGGGCTGAGAGATCAGAATCTAGATCATGGACTGCCAGAGACCAAATACATTTGTCTTGAAGTGCAGCCGTAGTGAAGCAAAGGTGTGAGACTTTGATATGGTAACATAAGTTGGGTATGTTATCAGGAGGCATCAGTCCCAGGAAAGTAGAGGGAGGGCCAGTGAAAGAAAAGTTCTGTAAGGGGGTGAAGTGACCTGGTGACTGCAAGGACGGTACAGGGTTTTCTTCTGCTGTACACAAGATGACCTCAGAGCTGACTTTATGGCACCTAATAATGACAGATCCCAAATCCATTGTCTTGAGAGCTCTGGTGGCCTAGTGGTAAGAAGCTGTGCTGAAATATCAAAGACACACGATTCAAATCTAACAGCTTCTCTGCAGGAGGAGGATCCTGCAATTTTCATGCCCTCAGCTATGAGTGGCAGACTCAGCTATGGATAGTACACAATATCATCAGGTTGATCCCAACTCCTAGCAACCCTATAGGAGAGAGTAGCCCTGTCTCAGGGTTTTCTAGGCTGTAGTATTTACAGAAGCTGACTGCTTCTCTTGCAGAGCCACTGATGAGTTTAAGCCATTGACCTTTTCAGTAGCAGTGTTTTACTACCGTGCCACCAGGGCTCCTTGCCTTTCTCTTTGTCTTTCTGCCTCCTCTTGATGTATGTTATTTGTCTCTGTCACACAAAACAAGAAAGAAGTATATCACAGCCCTGGCTTCTGCAAATTCCTAGAAGTTGGCACATTGAAATTGTTTACAACGTGACCGGCTGCAGGGGAGCACTGGAGAACTTGGGAGGGTTGGGACAAAGCCAATGGCTAGTGGGCCTGCCTGAAGCTGCGCGTCGGGATCTCCCGCAGGCCTGACCCTTGACGTTGTTTTAAGGTCTTCAGGGGGCTCTGAAGACTGCGAGGTCACAGCAGGTGCCCAGGCACAGAGGAGGAACATGGTGACTGCTCTTGGGCAATCAGCTGCCCACGTTTCAGCCTTTGTCAGGGTTTGGGAGGAACGTGAGAATTGATCCCTGGACTCCTCCCCAAGACCAAGTTAGATTCGGCCCACTTTCCTAGGAGTGCAGGGGAGGAGAGGGTAGTTGGAAAGGTGACGTAATGTGATCGCCACCAGCGCCGGGGGTGGCCAGTAGGTGGGGTGGGGTGGGGTGAAGGGGTGGTGAAGTATTAACTCTTCAATCCCCGTTAGGTGGCGGGACTTGTTTGCAGAGTGGACCCAAAAGAAAAGGGCACAGCTCCTTTAAATTCTGGGAAGGAGGTCGGACTGAGGATCTACCGGCTTGGCCTTTTATTCGCTGCGGGACTCTGGGGGGCGTGGCCTAGTTATGCAAATAGGAGCTGCTGATCGTTGACGCGCCATCACCCCACGCGCCGCTTCGAGCGCTCATTGGCCGCCACCAGCCTGGTCCCATTGACAACAAACAAGGGCGGGCGCGCCGGGGGGCGGGGCCCAGCGGGCGGGGGCGGGGGAATCCCGCCCCGCCCCTCCCGCGCGGCGCTGGGGCGCAGCGCAAACATGGCGGCGGCTGGCGCGGGCCGGTGAGGCGGTACCGAGCGGGGGCTGTGGAGTGTCATGGGTGGTGGCGGCGGTACCGCCCCCGCGTCTCCCTGAGCGGGACGGCCAGGGGGGGCCTCTGCGCGGAGCCGGGCGATGGACGAGAGCGCCGAACTGGGCGGGCTGGAGACCATGGAGACCCTCACGGAGCTGGGCGACGAGCTGACCCTGGGGGACATCGACGGTGAGCGGCGGCTGGGAGGTTGGGTGGGAGTGCGGGGGGCGCGCGGGGAGGAAGGGGTTACGGAGGCGCGCGCGGATGCGCGTGCGCCCACCCCGCGGC